GTTAATTAAGCCAAATTGGTGAAAAATCAGTTCAGTTGGTTGTTTGGCTTTCTTAAACTAAACAAGTAGTTAATTTATTGTATCACTTTTCAATAATCCAATAACTAAGTTACTGAAAAAATTAATACTATATAAATGACTAACCTATGTAGACTTTCACCAGAATTTTGACTGTTTGGATCAGAATTGTTCATTAGTAAAACTCATTGGGCATGACCCTTAGAAGTTTTACAGTCACCTGCTGGTAATTTGATTTAAATAACATTTTCTCAATCTGTCGGTGAGTACCATATGCCATTTATCATAGAATAAAGAGGTGTAGTTTGGTGAGACATATTGTGTCTATATCCTCCCCCAACCTAGCAAGTTTGTCAATGTAACAGAAAAATAATATCTTCTATAGATTTTAGAATTTGGTGTTTGAAAGCCTTTCTTAATTAGGCTGAATAGTTTTTAATAGCAGCCACATAGCCAACTGAAAACTATAGCAATCAACTTAAGCATGATAGAAAGTAACATTCTTTTAAATAATTAATAGCTGCTAAAATGTCCCATGTATTATGCAGGGGGGGGGGAGAAGACCAGATTTAATCAGTGCATTCAGGAAGGAGGGTTGATGAGAGAGATTAATCAAACTAGAGCATGCTCATATAAGGCACAGGATCAGATGATTCACTCACAAAAATGAGTAAGGGGGAAGGAAGCAGAGAGTGGTAGGAGGGTGACATGGTGGAGGAAGACACATATGTGGTGGTAGTCAAATGTCAAACCTCATTAGAGAGGTTGTCCAAAACATCTCTAATGAGCTGGAAACAATGTGCAGCTCACCTGGTTGGAGGCTTTTTTACACAAATTCAAACTCAGGCCAGGTTGCTCAATGGGTCTTCGGAGAAATTACAAACACTGGAGTGAATCCCAGCCAAGGGGAGCTGTGTTAACAGACTTTTCCCAGCCATATAACTTTGGCAATTGAGACAAAGATGAAGAGCTTCATCTCTTCAAGGTAATACAGAATTGGCTTCATCTATATGTTACCACTAATAATTGGTACAGAAGATATTAGGATTAGAGTAACTAGAACAAAAACAACAACAACAACAAAAACAACATAGTTTTTCTAAAATATCATGATCAGGCAAGGCTGGGGGCCAGATAGCAGTGAGCAGAGAAGGGTGTGATGGAAATCTGTGTTCCTCTGCCAAAGTAGAGAAGTTAACTACACTCAGCCACCTAAGCCATCTGTATTTGCAGAATGACCTTGGCAGAAGTGGAACATATTATTTGTTTCCATGGAAAAGGAGTTTTCTTTTTCTTTTTTTAAAATCAGGCCACATGGTCTAGTGCAGAGGTGTCCTCACTTTTCCTGCCAAGGCCTCTTGGGCATGTGATGACATTGTGAACTGCTTTCAGGTTTTTGATCTAAGTTTGTCCTCTATGGATGCTTTAAAATCAATGGATTAAAAAAGTCAGCAGACCTCAACTTGTTTTTGTACCCCCTCTTTTCTTCCTCTAATTATAAGAAGGAATGATCTTCTGCAATCATCCCTTTGAATATATCACTGTCTTTAAATAACTTTAAAAGAACTCCTAGTTTTAATTTGCATCAAAATAAAATCTGACTCTTTCTTTGTCCATTCTGTACCTTGCTTTTCTTATTTTCTGTTGTGCATTGCTCTCATCTCCCTTCTGCAGCTAGACATAAACTATTTGCCATCCTGCTTTTCTTATTATTTTCCTACTTTAAGATTTGCTATTGTCCTCACTTAAAACATCTTCCACATTCCTTTCCATTAAACCAGGCCACTTATTTCTGTCCAAACTTTAATTTTTAGAACTTTATTGCAATTGTCCTCTGTTATGTGAATATATCTGTCTCTGATAGTTTCTTAATCCATAGATGTTTATGTTGTTCTCTTTACCACTAAGACAGAAGCCCTATACTTTTCCTTTTTTGTCATTATCATAGTATAGGGTTATTATTCTAAGTTCATTATTGGTCCCATTTACATACCAGTGAATATCATGCTCCTTTGACCTTCATTCAAGCTTGAGCAAACTGTATTACTTTTTCTGCAGATAAATCTTTTCTTTTTTCTACTTAAGGTTTCTAACTGAAGTCTTTACATGCTTCCCTTGAAATAACAAGAGGAATGGTCTGTCTGAGCACACAGTAGATGGATTCAAGTGTACCAGGTCATGTTTGGAAGATCTAGAGAGTGGAAAGAAAGTTGTAAATCCACAACTCCCTTGCTTTCCATCCACCCAATAGATACTTGACTCTATATTTATGTACATAATATTTTGTTCTTACTAATTCCTATGTTTGTCAGTGGCCGGTGTGTCTGTTACTTTGTTGATAGCATAAGCTTCCAAAGGTATCATTTTCTATTGATTAATTTGTATTGTCTAATTCCCACTATGATGTGATGTACCCAATCTCTCTTAATTACAAATTGATGATAATTAAACCACCAAAGATACTTTCTGTAACAAATATTTCCAAAAGGAAGTGAAATTGTAAATGATGGCATTTTCCACATAAGCTTCAGACTTTAGTCCCAGCCATGATCTTGTCACTTTTTTATGAGCACCAGATCTATTGGCAAAAAAGCCCCGAGAGAAAAGCACTGGAATCCTGTAGACCTGTGAACGTGGAGAATTTAGCCTAAATGTGTGTTTGTGGGGATATACAATATCACTTCTTTTTTTTTTTTTTCGGATTCAGTGGTTTTCACACTTCCAGCTTTTTATTTTTTTTTTTTATTTTGGCATATTATGGGGGTACAGATTTTAAGGTTTCAATAAATGCCCATTTCCCCTCCCCCAAAAGTCTGAGTCTCCATCATGACCATCCCCAGATGGTGCACATCTCACTCATTATGTATGTATATACCCCCCCCTCCCCCTCCCACCTGCCCAATACCCTATTACTGTAGTACCTATGTGTCCACTTAGGTGCTAGTCAGTTAATACCAGTTTTCTGGAGAATATATCTGGTGCTTGTTTTTCCATTCTTGGATACTTCACTTAGTAGTATGGGTTCCAGCTCGTAACCAGGAAATATAAGATGTGCTATATCACCATTGTTTCTTAGAGCTGAATATGTACTCCATGGTATACATATACCACATTTTATTAATCCATTCTTGGATTGATGGGCACTTGGGCTGTTTCCACTGCCTTGCAATTATGAATTGTGCTGCTTAAACATTCGAGTGCAGGTGTCACTGGATCATTTGGGTAGATGCCCAGCAATGGGATTGCGTGATCAAATGGTAGATTCAGTTGTATCGCTTTAAGGTATCATCCATATTGCTTTCCACAGAGGGTTGAATAGTTTGCAGTCCCACCAGCAGTGTAGGAGTGTTCCTCTCTCTCCGCAACCACGCCAGCATTTATTGTTTGGAGATTTTTTGATAAAGGCCATTCTCACTGGGGTAGTGTATCTCATTGGTTTTGATTTGCATTTCCCTGATGATTAGAGATGTTGAGCATTTCTTCATATGTTTGTTGGCCATTCTTCTGTCTTCTTTAGAAAAATTTCTGTTCAAGTCTTTTGCCCACTTTTTAATGGGGTTATTTGATTTTTTCTTCCTAATTTTCATGAGTTCTAAGTATATTCTAGTTATCAGTCCCTTCTCGTATGCCGTCTTCTGCTTGAAAAAAAAAAACCTCTTTGTGGAAGCTTGCCCTCAAAGACTAGTATTACTCATATAATTGCTCTGCAATCACCCTGTCTCTCATGATGTGAGCCCAACTCTGAGATCATTGTGCTAATTTAAAGTATTTTGAAACCAGCAAAATGATAGACTTGATAGAATATATTGACTAAGTCTGTAGTCCAAGAGGCCAAAAATCTTCCATTGTGCTAAAAAGGTCAAAGTCAGCCCTTCAACATTTCTACAAACAGCTCTCTCTAATCAAGTCTCAATAACAAAAATAACCAATAATTGAAAAAGAATTGACAGAGTTAAGTTTTGCGTGATGACAACACTACTCTTACATTTTATTGTAATTCTGGCTAGAAATTTGGTGCTGAGATCCCTGTGACATGTGAGACAGCACCTGTGAAGTAGCTTTGTGAGGCATGTAGGTGGGGGAAAGTTTGGATATAATAATGAAGAAAGATGACAAATTGATATGGGTTTATATATATTTCTAATTTGAACATTATATAAGACTACCTGTCTTAGAATTAAGAGGAACTTGTTAAAAATGCCCCACAGGCCTGCTGTGTCAACCTCCTCTGGGGGTTGTATTCAGGGAATCTGCCTCCTTAACAAGCTCCCCAAGTGATTCTCATGTTCAGTGAAGTTTAAGGGCCACTGACATACACTAAAATAGGAAATAAAAAATACTCACCAAGTGTGGTGTACCGTGCTAGATACTGAAATACAAGAGTAAACAGATTCACTTCAAGGATTTCCAAAGGCATATTATGACACCGAAGTGAATGAACACCATTATGTATTCCTACAGAGTTTATGTGAACTGTAAAACTTGACTGAGTTATCAGGTAGGTTACTTTTAGTTTCTTTGAGTGGAAATACATTGTCTTATGAATTAAATTAATCTAAACAATTAAATTTATTTAAAACATTCTTCAACTAGTCTCCTAACTGTTGCAAAGTTTTGAAGTTATTTGCTTAAGCCAATCTGAGATGTTTTGGCAGAAGTGGTAGACAAAGTTATGTCTTTGGGGCCCAAGCTTCTTTCTTTGCCTCTAGCATCTCCATGGTGTTTCTTCAAGGAACCCCTGCCTTGATGGCTTTTCCTCTGCTTTCCTGTCATAACTGCTCTAATGACATGGATGCAAAGGAGAGTGTTAAGCTGATAGTCAAGAGAAAGGGTTTGCACTGTTACTCTGATACTGAATAAGTTATATGGCTTTGAGCAAGTTCCTCAAACTCTCTTTCAGTTTCCTTATTTGCAAAAATAAATGATCAGGTTATAAAAGCTCTGAAATTCTTCCTGGTCTTCTCTTTCTATGATTCATTGAGTTCACCATGCATTGCACTTTAAACATCGGGGCTGAAGTGGTACTGGAGACTGCGTGAAGAGGACTCGTAGATGAATCACTCATGAATGTTGGAGCAGGGGTCTGAGCAGCACCACTTAGAGATAATGAGGAGTCAAAACACCAGAGCTGAGTCAGCCCAGCCCTACCTCTGACTTGGTAGGTGAGATGGGACCATATCCTGCAGCTTTTTTGTAATTCACTTTCCAAATTTTGGGGGTGGAGACAGTAATGATAACTTTTCTCATAGTGTGATTTTTGGCATTACCAAGGGAGATGAGCAGATGTGTATAAGGCACAAGGTAGGCATTCTGTAACTCTTTCTTTATTCACTATGAAAGAGCAGTTTATTCAATGCTTCACTTTACCTACCCAAAGTTAACCTATTTATTTATTTAACAAGTATGAATAGGGCTCATGATGTTTCAGAAACTGATCTAAGAGGTTCACTTTAACAGTAAATCAATTGATCCTTACAACAGACCTATGAGGAACTATTATTATCCCCATTAGACAGATGAAGGGTCTGAAGCACAAACTTTCCCATGGTCACCCACATAGCCAGGCAATCTGGCTCCACAGTCTGTGATCTCAGCCATTGTTCTAGTGGTCTACATTGAAGGTCAGAGGACACTAAACAGAGTGGAATGTGGGCAAGTCTACTATATTTATTGTCAAGGACTTTGCATACATTTCATGCAGCAGAAAGAGATCCTACCTAATAACTCAGAAAACATCTAAAATAATAGGTGCTAACATACAAAAAGTCCAGCAATGGGTGATGCTTTTGAAGAGATACTAGTCTGGCATCACCAATATTGCAAAGCATTTTAAATCTTTATAGCAGTCCCTCACAGAAGAGCCAAAGGGTGAGGACATTGAGAACCTTGAAACAGGATTTGCAACAATTCTTAAACATCCTCTTTCTCATATATCTTTTATCTCACTTCTCATAGGAATGGTAACTCACAAGAGGGTCTCCTCTGCTCCAATTCCTCATTCGCAAACTCTTTCCCCAGCTCAGCAGAAGTTCATCCCACCTGCAGGATGCTAGCCTTCTCTTTCCTTTCTTTATAATTTATATCATTATACATTTACCTTTTTTTGTTTTTTGTAAAAATCCCTTTTACAAAATCTAAGAGAGTACAAATGGCATGTGTGGCAGGGAGAAATCTTGTTACAGAAATAATCACTAAAGCTTGTTGCTTACCTGGTTTCCCTCACTCTGAGGCCCAGCATCTTGATTGTGATAGTTAACCAGGTTTTTGTTTTTTTTTTAAAGAAAAATTGAAGATTATATAAAACAATAGAGTGATTAGTTAAGAATAACTATGTATTGTATCTACAACTTAATATGCAATAAAATTTATAACTATTTACAGTAAATTGAATGCTTCTAATATTAATTTCTAATTTTGCCTTGTGAGTAAATTGTCACATTTAGCCACTTAGAATTAAAAAAAGAGTTCTGTTCAGGGTTGGTTTTGATTGCTAAATTTTTCTACTGCTTAAATTCTGCCGAAATTCTTGGGTAACATGCCATTCTTCCTCGAGATGTTACTTCCTTATTTCAAGTTACTTTTGCAGACAATTCTCAGCCTCTGCTCATGTAGTACTCAGAGCACACTGTAAGTAAAAACTGTCTATCATTCATATTTCTAAAGGGGTTCACTCTCAGCAACATACTCTACCAAATGCCTGCTATTAATTAATTATTGCCCTGGGGATGGTTTCCCCTGATTGAAACATGGCCCTGAAGCTTTCCTTCTTTATGTGAACTCTCTGTCTTCTTGTTCAGCTGATTTTATGTTCTTTTGCTCCTTAAACTTTGACTGAGCATGTACTCATTTTAGACACTCTGGACTCTGAGATTACTACCACAAATAAAATATAATCTCTATGTTCTGGAAGCTCACTCTTCAGAGTGGGACAGCTATATATATACTTATGATATTATTTAATAAGTGCCATAATAGAGATATGCCCACGTACCATGGCAACCTAAAAGAAAGGTATCAATGGCATATAAACACGGTGGGAACTGAGAGGGTTTCACAAAAAAAAAAAAAAAAAAAAAAAATGACGTCTAAGTCTCTGAGTTTTGAAAGGGGAATTAAAGTTAGGTAATAAACGATACTGGAGATGCCAGAGTGCTCTCGGAGGAAAATTAGCATGAGCAAAAAATCCAGGAAACCAAAAGGAGTTTGTTATGGCTGGGCACAAAGTGGCAGATGGTGACACTAGGATGGCAATGGCCATCTAAGGCTAGGCAATAAAGGGTCTTAGACCCCATGCTAAAGTCTTTGGCTTTGTCCTAGGGTATTTACTTTAAATGAATTCCAGGCTTGTTTTAGAAATTTAAAGACAGTGCTCCATCAACCAAGAAAAATACACATTGACACAGAAAAACCTCAATTCATAAACATTTCAAGAAATTTTCAAGTCCCAAATCCCAGATTAACATCTAGTACTTCAGATGCAGAGGCAGTGTTGACTTTGGTGATAAAGTGGCACATCTAGACCTGTCAGCAAGGGAAAGGGTTTGTTGGTGCTAAAGAAATTCTGGAGGTGTGCACTAAGGCATTGCTCATTAAACATGAGGTGGGAGTGATGGTGGCTTTAGATTTTAGTCTATTATGGATATAATATAACTAAAAAGTATTAATTAATTGGATATGGTGGAGAGGTGAAGTGGCCCAAAGAAGAGATGGTATGCATTAACTGACTTCAACGCTCCATGAGAAGTCAGCTCAATGTAGCCCAGTTTGAGGCCTCAGGTGGGTCAGAAGCCCAGTGTTCTACTAGTCAGTGTTTTGTACTTTTGTATTTTATTTAGATCTTAAATGCCCTCACTGCATTTAACAAATGGATCCCTCTCTCCATCCCTCTCTCCTTCCCTCCCTCCTTCCTTCCTTCCTTCCTTCCTCTTTCCCTCTATCTTCTTTCCTTCCTTTCTCTCTCTCTCTCTCCCCCTTCTCTCTTTCTTTTCTTTCTCCATTCAGCCTGCTATAACAAAATACCTTATACTGAGTAATTTATAAACAACAGAAATTTATTGCTTACAATCTGAAAGCTTGGAAGTCCAAGATCAAGGTGCTAGAAGATTCAGTGTCTTCTAAGGGCCTGTTTCTCATAGATGGCACATTTCTTTTGTCCTTACATGGCGAAAGGGTCAAACAGGCTTCCTCAACCTCTTTTATAAGGGCACTAATCCCATTAATACTTTCACATTGGGTATTAGTTCCAACATATGATTTTGGGGTAGACATCAACATTCATACCATAGCCCTTCTTTCCTTCCTTCCTTCCTTCCTTCCTTCCTTCCTTCTTCCTTCCTTCTTCCTTTCCCTTCTTCTTCCTTTTCTTTTCATACCTCCTTCCTTCCTCCCTCCCTTCCTTTCTTCCTTTCTTTCTTCCTTCCCTCTTTCCCTTCCCCCACCTCTCTCTTTTTCTTTTCTTTAATGGCAAGAGGAACATACAGATTAGTTAAGCTAAAAACTTATACTTGCCATTGCATAAAATTATAGATGAACAAATTTAATTCACTGAAATAGTTTTCAGAACCATTTTATACCCAGTATTACTAATTCTACATATTCAGAGACATTCCAGTATTACAGATTTAATATTTTATTGCCTTGTCATCTGCTTTCTTCCCCTACTTCATCCACATGTCATAGATTTCTACCTTTAAAGCAAATTCAAGGAACCAAGAATGTTTTTCAGTTTTCCACAGAAAATTTCTATAGAAATTTTTGCTCTGAACATCTTTTCTTCCTTTCTTAATTCTGTCACCTATTACTTTCTTTGAAATACCTATCCAATAAATGCTGATTCAATGGTACTCATACAACTACTTTTAGGGACATTAGATACACAGAGTGATCTAGGTTGTACAACAAATGCCTTTCTTTTGGGGCTTTCATTTATATTAATAATGTGACAACTTTTTAAAATCATAGCTATTTGGCCTAGTTTTAAAGGCTTGGCAAAAAGTGGATGGGAGGATGCATGATCAGCCTTTTATCTAGAAAACTGTAATTTCCTGTCACTAAACAGAATTCTGGGTCAGGTCTAGCACAGCTATAAAAAAGATGATGTTAAATTCAACAAAATCTCAACTATATATGTGAAAAAAATAATTAATAGCATATTTGTTCCTAAACTATCTTCTCCCATATTGTTTCCAAACCAATAGAACTTTTCATGTGCCACAAAACAGCCACCCAACTTGCATATACTGAAGCAGAAAGTTTTCAGAAAGGATGAGTAGAGAATAACTTATGTGAAAACATGGTTAGAGAATTATGACTCATCAAGCCCAAGCCAGACAATGGTATAGAGCAGTATTCTGTGTAGGAGACTCAATCAGGCTGATGATCTGAATAGGGGTACCAGGATGAGCACAACCTTCTCACATTCTCAAGCTATTCCCTAGTTTGTTACTGAATGGGAGATTATTTTAATAGGATATTCTTTCTAAGAAGTATGAAATTATCTGTATTTTCTCCTGACTTAAAAAGTAACATATGCCTAGATTAGAAAAAAGTTGAAAATACAATGATTATAAAGTAGAAAATTAAATCCATAATTCCATCATTCAATATAAGTGTTATCTTCAAATATGCACACATACTACATGTACATACAAACAATACTATATACATAGCTGTACACATTATTTGTAAAATAGTGAATGTACATATGGATACTTCAGTTGTGATTATATCATACACAAGGAGGATAATAATGAAGGAGCACAAAGAAACTGATTTGTGGTATACCCAGATTACCACTGTGAAATCTGATGGTTTGGCAGTAATGATTTCTTTCAGTTTATGTTTTTATTTTATAAAGGAGTGATCATTACTATTTCTTGCTAAAGAGAGACCACTGAATGTAAATTTTTCATCCAAAACATTTACCCCAAGAAGGAATATTGTGAAATTGACTCAAAGATTGCTATTAGCTACAGACATAGTGGTTGTTGGCTTTTAAGGCCACAAGATCAATCATTTCTTCATCTAATTTATATTTTGCCTTCATTTCAAAATATAAGTGTGGTTTCCCAAAATAATAAATAAATTTGTTTTGATAAAAAACATTAAACATGAGGAGATACACATGTTCTCACTCATATGTGGGAAGTAAATATTGAAAACAATTGATTTCATGGGGCCAGCGAGTAGAATGATGGTTACCAGAGGCTGGGAAGGGTAACAGGGAGAGGAGAATAAAGTGGGAATGATTAAGGGGGGCTAAAATATAATTAGTTAGATAGAATAGATAATATTTGATAGCACAACAAAGTGACTATAATCAACAATGAATAAAAGTATACTTTCAAGTAACTAGTATTGTGGAATTAGAATGTTCCTGACATAAATGCCTGAGGTGATGAATATGCCAATTACCCTGATTTGATTAATTCACATTGTATGCCTGTGTCAAAACATCACATGTACCCTAGAATGCTACACAACTATTATGTACTCACAATATTTTTAAAAAAATATGGGAAGCTAAATTATATAATAAATCAGCACATGTAATATGAGGAAATAATAACTAAATTCAAAGAAGTTGTCACCAATTTACAGTTCAGTGCCTAACTCTGAGCTTCCTGTTAATTACCTTCAATTGGAAAAAACAATGGGCTACCACACGTCTTTCATAGACTGATAGAAGTTGGTATTGTTAAGGTGTTTCCTGATCGTAAACCCTTGGAACAATTTTATTTGACAAAGCCTTTTCTTGTCTTCCTTCCCTTCCTTCCTTCCCTTGCCCTCCCGCCCTCCCTCCCTCCCTCCCTCCCTTCCTTCCTTCCTTCCTTCCTTCCTTCCTTTTTTCCTTCTTTTCTTTTTTTTCTTTCTTTCCCTCTAACTTTGCAGAAAGATTCTTTATGGAGCCAACCTTTACTGAGTGCTATTATGTTTGAGACATTATACTAGGGCTTTACATTGACATCCTAATTTTATCCTCCCAAGAACTTGATGAGCTCGATACTACTATTATCGCCGTTTAAAGTTGAGAAAACTGAAACTTGGAGACTTTAAGTACTTGCTCAGTGTCACCTCTCTAGTTAGTGGGCCAAGCTGGTTTGGAATCTGTAGCTGTCTAAATTCTAAATCCATGTACTGCCTACTCTTTTCATTGTATTACACTTTAGTAAAAGTATAAAGTTAGGAGTAATGTTTATGTAAAGTTGTTAGTTGTTTCTGTGGGAAGCTAGAATCTAGGTTACAAGAATCTGCAGATAAAGAATCACTGAAAACAGGATGGAAAGAGATCCTTGAATTTCAGCCTGCATTACAGTTACCTGAAGGGTCTGTTAAAACACAGATTTCTTGACACAACTCACAGAATTTCTGTTTTGTTAAGTCTGGGATGATGCTCAAGAATTTCCACTTCTAACAAGTTGTCAGGTGATGAGGCCTGAGTCAGTGGTTCAAAATCTTGGAGGCACATTAGAGTCACCTAGAGAGAATTTTAAAATTTGGGGGCTTCATCTCTTTTAATTAGCCTTGGATGGGTCTAGGAGTCTGTCGGCTCTAAAAGTTCCCAGGTGATTCTAATGTGCAAGAAGTTGCATACCACTGTTTTACACTCTCCCTATTCAAGATTATTCATTTTGGTTGGGCTTGAGAAAGGAGATGGAAAAAATACAACTTTAAATTAAGATCCTTGACCGGTTTCTAAAAGGAAGTTATTATGCTGTTGACTACAAGGAGATACTAGGCAAGTAGGTGCCAAGATCTTCTAATGCAAGTTTAATGTTCTTCCTGTTGTGCCTCAAAAGACCTGGGAATCCATAAAACTGGTTCAAAATATGCCCTCCCAACATACAAATGAGGTAATGCAATAAAAATTGTGTGTACTTCCTTTGTTGCTCAGTTTTTCTCAGATTGATGATTTTGATTTTGGTTTCAAGAGGTCGTGTTGATCTGTTTGTTCTGACAGTAATAAGCTGACAAGCAATCACAAGGGACTGCTCCTTAATATGGTCCAAGTGCTCCTTGCTATATAGCAACATTGAATTTTCATACAACCTGCATTTTCATACATTTTACCAAGACACTGCTAATCTGTGTCCCATGACAAATACAGATTGCAGCTATCATCTAACTAAGGAATATTGCCAGCCCTTGTTAGGTGGGAACTGCCCAAAGCTGCGAGTTTCTTTTAGGCCACAGCATCATTTTGTTCTGTGTAGTGTGGATGTTTGGGTACGGGTGGGGATTGACCAGTTATGTCAACATTTTTTACTATTGCATTTTTCTTATTATTTTATAAAAGTGAATATTTCCAAAAGGCAAGATATAATTAGAAATTCTGTAAAAGTCTTTAACTCTTGGGATGGAACTTTTCTTATAATGTCCAAACTTATCGTTTGACTTTCATACCTTTAAATTTTAGTCACATATTCAGGAATTTACTTTGTTCAACAAGGTAAATCAGTGTAGTAGGCAACTTCATTACATAAAGTTATGAAAGTAATTACTCACCTGAAATAAGTGATTTTATTATTTTTATGTTTGGAGTTTTTGTGACCTGAATTCACTGCTTTGGCACAAATAGCTTATTTAGTAGCATAGACAACTATAACTTACAGGGAAGTGTTCAAGGTTGTAGGATTGACATGTGTACAGTTCACAGTGGGGATTCAAGAGAAGCATTGGTTAGTGCCCACAGGAGTGTCAGGACAGGCTTTGTGGCAGAGGTAACAATTGAGATGGTTGTTAAATTATCAGATGTTGATCAGTGGGCAAGGACGAGAAGGGCATTCTAGAGGCACATAAACCAGAACAGAGCAATACATCACACAGGATCAGGGTTTGTCCCTATGATGTGTGCAAGAAGGCAGAGCAGGGTGCCACAAGAGATGAGGTAAGAAGATGTGATAGAAATAAACCAAATGATATTTTTAAGCCATGTGTAGCAGATGTCATTAGAGCCTCACCATATCCTTGTACCTTAACCAGTTCACTGTGCTCCAGCGCTGACTTTAAGCTATGCCTGAGGACTTTGTTGCATCTCTAGTTGCTTTGGCCATTCCTGGCAGGCCAGAAGTGCCAAGGGAAGTGAGCTCACCCCGTCCCAGAAGCAGACTGACTGCAATTGATGTGTATATTCTCCAGGGACCTTCCCTCCCCACAGGATAACTCTGAGACATGAGTTTTGCAGCATTTCTGCAGGATATTCTAGCACAATTAAGTGCTAGTCTTCCCTGCCTTCCTGTCTCTGTATCAGTTCTCTATTCCCTTACTAGTGTCCTTCCTTGTGGCTCTTAAATAAACTATAAGAATGTGAACCCTTACATCAGGGTCAGGGTCTGGTGTGGGGGAAGTTTAAGCTAAGGCACTAGGAAGGAGTTCAGAAGTTTTATATAAAAGGAATTTCATCGTATTTTGAGAGATCATGCTGACAGCAAGAGGACAGACGAAGTGGAGATGAAAGAGAATAGAGGAGCATGGCTAGTGAGGAGAGAATTGTCAAAGTCTAAGGAAAGATTTTGAAGACTGACTTTAAGCATCGAGGGCTTGGTTGGCCTAGGGGGTGGAGACAGACAGTGATGGAAGTGCTGAGGAGATGTTAAGGCAGTAGACAGAAAGGTAGTAGAATTGAGGGTTTAAGGGAGCCTGAGGGGGAACAGTCAAAGAAAAAGCAGAAAATCAGGAGAAAAGTTTATCCATATAAGGGAGGAGGCAGGTCCAGGGGGTACGAAACATTCAACTGTGCTACAGCTACAGAGAGATGACGTCTGCAATGGTCTATTGGACCGGAAAAATTTGAATCATTAATAACCTTCAACAAATCACTTTCTATAGAATGATGAAGACAGAATTCTGATTGTAGCAGCTTGAAGAATAAGTGGGGTGATCAAGTGATTATAAACCAGTCTTTGAAAGAACTTGGCTCTCAAGGGTGGGAAAAAGAGTCATGGTCAGAGCTGGTGTTTTTGAAAGTCAGGCATGCCTTTGAGTTGGTGTATAGGATGATGTGATAGAACAAGTAGCGGTAAAGAGGCTAAAAATTCATCAGTTGGTAGTATAAGGTCTGTGTTCTAGAAGAGATGGGAAAAGGATATGAAATCATGAACACAGCAAGGAGTTTAACCTCATGTTGTCAAATTAAAGAGAAATTGTTGAAATGCCAGACTCACGAAGGGATGAAGGAAGTCAGGAAGCTGATTTAAGAACGATGTAATATTTGTAAACTCTTATGATTGTTTTTATAGGCATTCTTGCAAACTCATATTCATGAAGAAAGTCAGAGTGCATGTCGCAGGTGCAATCCTGGGTCTTCAGCTATGTGATACAAAAACAGAAGGTGATAAATATAACCAAGGATTGGAGCAGGAAAAGAAAAAAAACCAATCTGGGAAATGAGACTGTAAAGTTTACAATGCTACTGAATTCCAAACACTTTCAGAAGTAGTGGAAAGAAGAATGCAAAGAAAATGAGTTTATTTTAAAAACTGAACTTTTTTTGGTTTTGCAATTTAAAGTTGTACAAATTATGTGGGTTTCTATTTTGAAAAAATAAAAACCACATCATGCGTGTGGATTAGTACTCATCACTCCAGCAGTCAACAAGTCAATGAATGCTTCAGGTTTTAATTAAGTTATTACTTCTTTACATCTACTTAGTAACTTCTCTAAATTCTACCTAAGATGTGTACACTGATCACTATAACATTTACCCTTCCCTGAAAAAACAAAACCAAATGATAAACAAAAAATAAAAAACAACCCAGAGCTCTCAATATTCACCCTAAATATAGCTCTGCCTGGCCTCTGTCTGCAATGTACAGACCTAGCAGATTTGGGTTTTTCAGATCTTCTTTTTGGTGTCTAATTTCCTGAAGTCCAAGAGACAGCTGTCTGGGTGTCTGAGAGCTAAGATGATGAACAGGCAGATATCAAGGAAGTGGTTTTCTTACAGCAATAGCTACATTTGGACCTGAGTATTTCCTCATTCTTGCCTGACTGTAGGGCATCATAAGTTTTGATCTGTGCTAAATTCAGACATGTTCTCTCTTTTTAATGGGGGTGTTTATTAGCCTGTTTTACGCAAGGCAAAATCTAATCAAAGGAATCTCCAAATTCCAGTAGTTTGACATTTCAACTGTGTATCTGTAGAAAAACAGTGCATACAGATATTTGCAAATGAAACCAATAGAAAATAATAATTTTTTTAAGCATTGAAAAAAAGCTCATTTTTATTCCTGGGTAATAGCATTTTCTATGTTAGGCATTGTTTCCCCATCAGTCTGAGAAAAGTAAAGCATTTTGTCTTCTCTGGCAGTTGGAGTTTCCAATAAGAGTATGCTCATTTTCTGCATATTAAAACAGGAAGCACCCTTGGCTGCTTAAGTGACTTCCTTCACTTTTTATCTGCTTGGCTAAAGCCTGGGCTTCATAAAATTGGTTGAATCTTTATGGTCCAAGTGAAATAGAAGATGAAGCAATTAACCACTTAATTTAAACTATGTTAACAGTCAATGCAAGTACTTCTAACATTGAGCACTTTCACACCCTGAGTTATTGATGAAGACAAATCTATGCAGTGGAATATTGGTTATGATCCAGTGCCAAGCTGGGTCATTTAGGACATGAAATGGACAGTTTAATTTCTAGCATAGAGCATTTTAATCCTACTGGATGACTTATATTAGTGTTGTCAAATGGCTAAACAAGCAATTTTCATTCATTTTCAACTTACAGTACCCTAATGCTGTTTGATTTTATTATATCCACTGATTTCACTTCTATATTCTATACATCATTTTTGTTCTTTAATAAGTGACTTTATACTTGATCAAACAACTACATGTCACATTGTTATAGATTTTTTTTTTTTCTTTGAGATACCTAAAAGTCCTCTAATTTGCCTTTAAAGCTGTTTTGGAAATTGTTGTCTTAGGAATCGAGAACTGTAAGGAATCCTAGAGAACACCTGGCCCTAACCCTTATTTTAGAGGTAAACTGAGGCCAAGAGAGGTGAACAGCCTAAAGTCAAACCACTGGTTATTGGTTGTGGTTGACTGTTACAAATGGCTGCGCTGTTCTTGCCACCTGTGTCTACATCCTTTGGAATGTGACTTTGCAGCTTCTTCCATCAAAAGTCGGCATCTACTTTCCCATACCATGACTCTGACCTTGCTTGTGACTTCCTTTAGCTGATAGAATTCAGAGGAAATAAGAGTGCCAGTTCAGCAGCAATAGATAAGGAATGTACAAGTTATTTTATTTTACCTCTTTTTTTTTTTTTTAATAGAGTACTCTAAAAAATCAGCAGTACTCATAGGATTTTTTTTTTCTCAACTCATGCTTCCAGCTATTTGGCAAATTTTCAAATATTTGCTCTCTTTGTTTGTATATTGTGTGCTTTCTTTGCATCTTCTACCTCATAAAGCTTTCCAAATGTGTTCTTTCCTCTTCTGCTTTTGAGTTTTTAGGAACATCTTTGGCTGAGGTGAAATTTTTTACCACGCTATTGGGCATTACTTTGTGGCACGGAATTTTAATCCACTTAACAGCTTCCAGCACATTTATTTTTTTGGCAGGCAGGTGATGCTGTCAGCTATGTCCACACCAGAGGCAAATTGCAGCAAGCAAGCGACTCTTGGAATGATTGAAAAAATATCTTTAACCAAGGGGGAGGTCAACTTGTTGTGTTTGATAAATTTTAGTTCCTTGTCACCTGAAGCTATGTACATTAGCATAAGGCATTATCATATTTGCAGCCCAAACAGAATCATTTTATCTGACATCCTCTTTTTATTTTAGGTGATTTACTCATTCTTACATGAGAGGCAGTGTGATGTAATAAAATGAGCACTGAATTTTATGGTAGGAAACTGAATTTCAAATTCTAGATTACTCACTCATTAGATATGCCACTTTGGGCAGGTCACTCAACTTCTCTCAAAACCAATTTCTTCATTACTTAGCTATTTTAGAAAGTAAGGTAAAGCACGCAACGTGTTTTGTAAGCTGCAAACTCCAGTATCTACTTCTCTTCTGAGCTCCTTACATTTTCAGTTGCCTATTGAACATTCTCTATTTGATGTCCCCTGTCCAATATCCATCTCAATATTCACTACCCGAGCCTTCACTTTCTCCTAATTCCCTAATTCTATTAAATGATACTAATAATTTGCCAGTGACCCAGGTTGCAATTCTTCAAATAAGTGTTTGGTGGCCCTCTCTCTTATTTACCTCTTACAAGCTATTCATGTATTTATTAATTTGTGCACCCAGCAAGTGCCTATTGACTATCTGCTCCCTTTTCTGTTGCTGTACGTCTTCCCTCTTTCAATCTCATCTCTGTGTTTCAAGCCAGGCTTTGACCCATTGTATTTCTCTATTTCATACTCTGCTCCTCTGGATTTGGCATCTATCTTAGATCTCTCAGCCTAGACCTTGACCTGATTGTATCACTTCTTGCTTAGTCTGCTCTTCTAGCCCCAGGGCCTTTTGCTGCTTCTTGTAAGAAAAACTCCTCTGTTTCTAGTCTGTGCCCTGAAAGACCTCCTTCCCTCCCCCATGGTCGGCTGTGCCAGCTAAGCCAATTTGTTAACTTCTCCATTTCTATGATGAAAGAAGAGACTCAGACACTGTAAGTGACACTGAGAATGTTACCTAATTTTAATTAACATAATTTTTTCCTTTAAAAAAATGAGGTCTGGGCATGGTGGCTTGCACCTATAATCCTAGTACTCTGGAAGGCCGAGGAGGGAGGATTGCTTGAGGTCAGGAATTTGAGACCAGCCTGAACAAGAGCAAGATCCCATCTCAACCCAAAACAGAAAAAATTAGCCCAGCATGATGGCACAGGCCTGGAGTCCCAGCTATTATACTTGGGAGGCTGAGGCAGGAGAACTGCATGAACCCAGGAGTTCAGTGAGCTAAGGGTGCAGTGAGCTAAGATGATGCCACTGCACTCTGCCTGGGGTGACAGAGCAAAGCAAGAGGATACTGACACTCTCACAGGGTCATTATGAAATGAGATAACATAACACATGTGACTGGCATAGAGGAGACACTTGCAACCTAAGAGTTCTTTCTAAAGACCTGGATATACTTGCATAGTAATAAACTCAACAGTTCACATCTGACAATTCAAAATAGAACAAGCTAAGAATCTAATTAGGGAGATGGGAATGCAATGTTTAATACAATTTGTATATAGAGCTAGAATATGAAATGCAGTGCAGGTGGATGTGTACAAAGTGAAAAGGTTAGTATGAGGTATGGTTACTCAAAAAACACAGGCAGATAGTGATTTGCAAAGATACTATTAGGTATGAATTGTTGAAAAGAGAGCAGGAGAATATTTTAGGCAGGGGAATTACACAGGAAAATGCTTGAGAACAAAACAGAGTGTGACATTTTGCTATTAGCTTGGTAAAATGGACAGGCTGGGTTTTAGGTTAAAGATCATATTTAGAAAGGTAGAGTGGTGCCAGTAATTGCAGACTTAAATTCTCGCCCTAGTAATAGAGAAATATATGTGGGCCAATGTTTCCAATATTATCCACATTTTACTTTCAATAAAGGCAATTCATTTTGTTTTGTCATTCTTAAAGAGGCAAGTTAGAAACTTAATGAATTTTTAAATCCTTTGATATTATATTAAACAAGGGGTTTTTAAACCCAGTTTCCAAATGCATTATTTTAAATGTGAAATAATATTTATAGAAAGAAAACTTGACTGTGTTTAAGCCAATATCCTTCCAAGGGAAGTTTCCTGTATTTTATTTATGAACATAAGTTGCCTTCTCTTTCTGTGTGAATTAGGTTAGAAAATTACAAATGCAAAAGTCTCTGGGATTGTCTAATCCAAGTGCTGGATGTTTTACAAATGAGGAAACAGAAAAAGGGAGGTTAAATGTCTTTCACGAGGTCATATGTAGTCAGTGGTCAAATGAAACTTAAACTTCTCTCGAGATTTTTAATCTAATGCTTTAAAAAATACATATTGAAAGACCTAAAATAGCCAAAACATTACAAAAGAAAAAGAGCAAAGTTGGAATACTTCTACCACCAGATAGGAAACATTGCTCTAAAGCTATTGCAAGTAAGGGAGTATAATATTGGCACAAAGATAGACCAATGGAATAGAACAGAAATTCCAGAAGCATACACACCCTAAAATGGTACCTTGATAGGGTACCTTGATAAGGATGTCACTTCACTTCAATAGGTTGTCCATGGTCTTCTCAATAACTATATATCCAATTAACCCAGGACAGTCTCAATAACTGTGCTGGGTTAATTGGATATATCAATGAACACAAACAAAAATATCTACTACTACCTCTTGCCAAACACAGAAATTAATTTGAGATGGAACACAGACCTTAAGTATAAGAGCTAAATTGGTCTTTTTTCTAGGATAACATGTTAATAGTATCTTCATAATTTTGAAATAGGTAAAGATTTCTTTACTAAGACACACACACACACACAGACACACAACACCAGCCTAAAAGAAAAAAGATTAATAAATGGC